CTCCCTACTGTCTAAGATAATTCCAAAACCCTTTGAATGGCATTTGAGGTCCATTATTGCCTGCAAATATTACAAACCATAAACACCATACTGCCTATACATTCGTGAAAATATTCATTCATGATTTGCTTTTGATTATGTGGTTCCCTCTGCCAAGTCGACCTGGAAGAACAACAAATCCATTTTTTTAAAACTTCTTCAGGAAGTTTTTTGTAAACATTCTTCCTACCAATGCCTGAGACATATGTTAGTTCATCTTTTCCTCTACTCTTCTACTTTTATGATATACACATGCTTTTGTTGTTGCTGTTAACACTTTACAATAAGGGACATGAGCCAAATACCTGAAGGTGGTGTCCATTTACTATGAATGCCAGAAATAAATAGAATGAAGGACAATGCATGCTTAGGTGCTTGTGTTATTACACCTATGAGTTAAACTGCCTTTAAAAACATTGTCGTATAACCAAAGAATCAAACAGGATACATCCAAAGCACTTATCATCCTCTTCTGCTACATGGGTCACAGCATAACTTAAATGAGAAGTTAGTGTTGAGAAGTATCAAATAAGAAAAGCAATTTAAATTTCAGGTGGAAGGCAATTATATGTGTAAACAGTGTAATGACATGATTAATTCACTACTTTAGGATAACAATGCCTAGACAATCCCCTGCAACATGTGTCCTTTCTCAAAAAGCCTCAAAATAAGCTAGCGACTCAGAATTATTATGCAGTAAGGTGCTGAAAGAGTGAACTTTGAACTGGGGAGTAGAAGCCTATCAAGTCCAGCTGTCATTCTGTTGGCTGTCTTAATCAGATTGACCTTTACGATACTGACAGAGACCATGGGGGATATTCCCCAAGGTTATAAACCGCCTTCTGTGATTTATTTATCAGTTTATGGACTGGTCGGAGTTGGTTGCAACTAAAATGTTGTAATAAAAATCCACCAGAAATATGACCTATTAAAGAGGAAACATGGGTAACTTTACAAAAAATGATTTATGAACTGTTGAGGAAACATAACAGAGACAGGTGGTAAAGTTTAGGAAGCCTATGTTGTAAATGGGCTAATGGGTGGGGTTGATTTGAAAAATAAACAAGATGAATAGATAATTTATAACAAAGTGACTTCATTTCTGAATCCAGGTGTATCTTAAATAGATCATCTGATGCAACTGTGTTATCTATTGAGAACAGATTAAACAAGTTCATACAAATCAGCCAGTGTCCATTTCCTTGGTTTACTGGACTTAGTGGACACCGGGCTGCCTGGTGATCTATAGACTTGGCAATCTCCCAGACCATTGTGTAACAATGTAGTTGGTGACCCTCACTCTTTTGGCCTTTCTCCCTGAACAGAAGATCCAGCTCAGCTATATGATGAGGTTAGGAGGAATGACATACATTCCATCTCACCCTACTGCTCAGTGCATGTAAAGACCTGTGATGGAGCTCACAGATCTCTGCTAATGCATATACTTTCTTGCTAAGGAAAGTGTGAGACAAAAAAGGTGACAAGGTCAAGTTTAGCTTTGACAATGGTCTGCTGAATTTTAAAATTCAAAGGTGTTACATAATATAAACTTCAACCACTATGCTATTATTGCCTAAATGACTTGCCTCTATGCCTTTATTCGTGCTATTTCCTAGACTGCCTTCAATATCATCATATTTTTTATGTCTAAATTCTACCCATCTGTCCTAGCTCAAATGTGGACAAGACCATGAAATCTCAGATTTGCCCAGGTAGAAGTGATCTCTTCCTATTTGAGTAGAGCTTAACTGTTGACACTAAGTATATACATCTGAGCATCCCCTGGGCTGAATTTCTTGAAGGCTTTGTACTTGGTAGGTGTTTACAAATATTTGTTGTTTGAATAAATATTAAATTACATGATTAGGAAGGGTAGAAGACCTCAAGTTTTCTCGAATTTTTAGTTAAACTGTGCATTTGGGAATGTCAGCATTCTCTGTAACTTTCTGCTGTGCTGAGGAGCTCATATTCATGCTTATAGTTGAGAATAGTTCTCTGACTTCACCACTTTCCCCTCCTTCTCCTGTTTCTCCAACTATATTGTTAACAGTTACGTTTATTGACCTGGCTAAGTTTGTTCTTGCCTTGGATGATTTGTAGTAGCTATTCCATGGGCCTGGAATTCTTTTCTCCCAAATTTTCTATCTCTACATGGCTGGAGTTTTATCATTCAGGTCTCAGGGCAGATACCCAATGCTCAACGAAGCCTTACTTAACTGCCCAAGTTGCAGTGGACTAGTCAACCATACCACTATCTTTGATTTTATTTATGATATTTATTACTAAATGAATGTATATTATCTGTTCATGTGTTTCTTGGTTTATTTTTCCTCCTTCAATAGACTGAAACATCTGTGGGAGAAGAAGTCTTGTTTGTTTTTACTGCCCTACGGCCAGCTCCAAGAAGAATGTTCGAAAATACTCAGTATGTGATTATCAAATGAATGAATGAATGAATGAATGAATGAATTCCAAATAGAAGTGCTTTTATGTATACTTTTAGTGAAAAGCATCAGGGGACTCAAAAGCACCGGTTTTATGGGTTTTATGTGCTAAACTTTCATAGGGAAAGGTGGGGGTTGGCCTGTTTAAAATTCTTTACTTGAAGGAAGTTGAGTCATGGCACCTGCAACACATTATTCAACATTAAATATACTGGGAACTCCTTAAAGACAGGGTAGGGCCTGGACAATACATGCATTCCCGATGCCTTGCACAGATCATGGCATTAAGTGGAACAAATTGAGGGAAGGATTAAATAAATGAAGCCTGACTCTCAAACTTTGATTATTTATCTTAGCATATACCCAATTCCCAACAATAATAACTACCATTTGTGGAACAGCTACTCACTAGACTGGTGCTTTATATATTTTATCATATTAATTCCATTAAATAACTCCTTGAAAAAGATTTTCATTCCCATTTTAAAGATGAGGCAAGCAGCAAATAAGTGATTATTTGACATTGGACGCAGGCCTAATCCCCATAATCCATAATCATAATTTAATCAGTCACATTACCTGTTTTTACTAGAATAAAACAATTTTAAATGTACTTAATAGCGCATTTGAAAACCATTATCTCAAACTTTGCTAAATATTTACGAATTCTCCTCATAGCAGATAACTAGTGTATAGTATGAATCCATTCTTAACATCAAAACAAATCAACAAAAGTTTTTGCTATATACCTAACCTACTTTAATTTTTCTTATAGTTTAATACATAAAATAGTTTTATAGCTTTTCTGATTATAAAAAGTAGACATTAAAAATAAAATACAGAAAATATGGAGGACACACAGCTTAAAATCCCATCTTAAATACTTATAAAATTTTACATAAATGGAATCAAATTTTTTATATATTTACTTTCACTTAGACTTAATGTCATGCTAATTACAATTACACAGTTACAAAAAAAATTAGGCATTGTCATATATCTTGAATTTATTATCTCTATTCAACATTTATTATAAACATGGAACAAATTATTTTTAAAATCTAGCAGAGTGAAACCTATTCTGACATCATTCTGAAGTAGTGAACTAATCTAACTCTGCTAAACTGAATTGGCTTATTTTGTCAGGTTTGAAGGCATATATGCCTCTCTGTGGTATAAAATATGCAGAACACTTGCACATGGGAGTTACATACATATTTATTCAGTAAATTGCAAAGAATTGAAACAGTTTTGTTGTGTTTTTGTTTTTTTATTTGTTTGGGTTGTTTTGGGATAATGCTCTTTTCTTTGCTGCTTCCTTACAATTTTTGACTATGACATTTTTCACTAAGGATCAAAATATTGAAGGTACCATTGGTTCTTCCTCCCTTGCTCCCATTACCCTTTCTTTTTCCTCTTCTTTGCCACTGTCCAATGCTAAACCTTTACAAATCTGAACCTGAGCTATTGCAATCCTTTTTTTTTTTTTTAAATGTTTATATATTTGTTTTTGAGAGAAAGATACCTCACGAGTTGAGGAGGAGCAGAGAGAAGGAAACAGAGAATCTCAAGCAGGCTCCACGATGTCAGGGCAGAGCTCAATGTGGGGCTCAAACTCATGAACTGTGAGATCATGACCTGAGTTGAAACCAAGAGTCTGACATTTAACCAATTGAGCCACCCAGGCACCCCTAATTTTTATATATATTTTACCCATTCCATCTCATACTATATATTGTATCATTATCACACAAATCTTTCTAAAATATACAATTTTTATAGGATTAAACTCAAGCATCTTCATCAGACATTCCAGGCCATCTACAACCTGGGTTCAACCTACTTTTCTCCAACTCATGGACTCAACTTCAGACTACCCTATACAAATTTTCTTTGTTTAGTACTGTTTCTAAGAAAAATGAGTACTTGGTACCCATTAACACTCAAATATCATCTTCCCCTCATTTCCCCATCTAACCTATTTGTACTTTATACAGGTATCTTCCATGGAATTTATTCATTCTGAAAATGTATTTATTGAATACCTACTACGTGGAGGCACCCTCGGGGTATTGAGAATATATCAGCAAGAAAACAATACAATTCTTTAACTACATGGAATTCATGTTCTTCTGAATAGACAACAAATATACATAATATATAAAGAACTTGTGTAATATGGTATAATGTGATAAATTTTATTTTTAAAAATTAAGAAAGAGAAGGAATCATGATTACCAGTGCTTCTGGCAATTTTTAACAAGTTGCTAAATCTTTCTTAAGGCTCAGCAAACTTTTTTCTGTAAAGGGCCAAATAATAAATATATTAGACTTTGTGGACCATAAAGTACTTACTGTAACTATTTAACTCTGTCATTTTATTACAAAAGCATTCTGCATGTCAATAAAGCTTTATTTATGAATATCAAAATCTGAATTTTGTGTAATTTTCACATGTCACAGAGTATACTTTTGATTTATATATTTTTCAACCAAAAATGTAAATTCCATTCTTACCTTGTGGACTGCGGAGAATCAGGCAGGGACCAAATTTGGCCAATGTGTTTGCCAACTCCTGTGTAGACAGAAGAAAAGTTGAAATTAGTAAAGATTTGGGGAGGATAAGGGAGTGTGCACATGGATATGCAGGAGTATTCTAAGCAGAGGGAGTAGTCATTGCAAGGTTTCTGAGATGAAGGAATGCCTGGTATGTTCTAGAAACAAGCAATAAGCCAGTGTGATAGGAGCAGGTTGTGTGAGAGAGGGAGAGAAATGGGGGATGAAGGGAGAGAGGCAATAAAGGTCAGATTAAATAGTAGCTCATTTAAGTACTTTGGCTTTTACCCTCAATGAAAATTTGAGCCACTGGAAAACTTTGAGCAGAGAATATGATTTATCTACAATCATAGATCACAACTACAGCTTCTTAGACCTAGAAGAAAGAAAACTTACAAGATTATCAAGTCCTGGGCCACCTGGGTGGCTCAGTTTGTTAAACCTCTGACTCTTTATTTTTGACTCAGGTCATGATCTCACAGTTCATGAAATTAAAACCTGAGTCTAGTCTGGTTCGCTGACAGTGCAGAGCCTGCTTGAGATTCTCTCTCTCCTTGCTCTCTACCCATCTCCCTGCTCTTTCTCGAAATCTCTCTCTCTCTCTTTCTCATAGTTTATTTTTTATTTTATTTTTATATTTTTAAGTAGGCTTCACACGCTTCACACAGGCTTGAACTCAGGACCCTGAGATCATTTGCAACAATGTGGAGAATATTATGCTAAGTGAAATAAGTCAAGCAGAGAAAGATAGATATCATATGTTTTCACTCATATATGGCATTTGAGAAACTTAACAGAAGACCATGGGGGAAGGGAAGGGGAAAATACAGTTTCAAACAGAGAGGGAGGCAAACCGTAAGAGACTCTTAAATACTGAGAAAAAACTGAGTGTTGATAGGGGGGAGGGATGGGTGATGGACACTGAGGAGGGCACTTGTTGGGACAAGCACTGGGTGTTGTATGTAAGCTATGAATCATGGGAATCTACTCTTGAAGCCAAGAGCATACCATATACACTGTGTGTTAGCTGACTTGACAAAAAAACTGACTTTTCAAAATAAATTGTATCTAAAAAAATTTTTAAAAAGACCTGAGCTGAGACCACTTAACCAAATGAGCCACCCAAGTGCGCCTTCTCTCTTTTAAAATAAATAAATAAATTTAAAAAAAATTATCTACTCCCAATTAGGTAGGTTTAAACTCAGAGAGCCAACTTTAATTGAGGTGCTATGTTCGCAAAGATTCTGAGCCAGAAACACTTCTGGCATTAATTGGCAATTCCCACTCAGCTGTGGGGCTACTGGTGCCATGAGCTTGCGGTCTTCATCTAGTCCAACCTTCACATTTTCACCACTAGGACACACAGAGCTCCCAACACAATACGTGGCTTATTCAACATTATTGTCTGGTTAATGGCAGGGCTTCTGATTAGTGATCTTCATTGTTTCTTGGTCCTTCCCAGTGTCAGTTTTTACACTTAAGGTAATAATCAATACATATCTTTCCTGGAGAGGTTGAGAAGATACTAAAATTAAAAGGTATGTGGAGAGAAGGATCACCAATGCAAATTTTATTTCCTTATAGCTATGAAATCATTATAATTTATAAAGCACTTTTATCTTTATCTTATTTAACCCTCATGATGGCCCTATGAATCCTTAATAATCCCATAAAATCATCCTGGGGCCCTACAAATGGAAGAGCAGACCCTCAAGGCAGCTCTTAACTTGAACTGCATTTGCATGGGATCACTGAGATTTCTTTCTTTTTTAAACAATTCCATCTCTAAAATTTAGCTTAAAATATGACCAGGTTATTTCATCATTGTTAGTAAAATACTTCTTAGTACCCTTGGAGCAGAAGTAAGGAAGAACCAAGGATTCCAAAATGTTTAAGCTTAAAAGTGCCATTCTTTCTGTGTATTGTGGGGAAAAAGAGGAGGAGTTTGTGCTGAGCTACTGTGATGACTAATGAAATTTTTATTCTTTTCAATAAGAAGAGCTTTAACAATTAGGCTGTGTTATAATGAAATGTTCATTTGTCCAAACTCTGATTCCTGGACCATCAATACCTCTTTGTAAGAGGTACATCCCTAAAATATGCCTTTGTCTTGTATGGAATGCAACCAGAGGCGTTTAGTGCAAGGACTCTCAGAAAGGCAGCCTGAAGGGAACAATGGAGTTTCAGAGGAGCTTCAATTAAAATGTATATATGTATATATTTTTTCCTGTACCATGTGATACTCATTACCTGACTAAATGATTATCTAAAACAATGAGGAGGGAAACTTCATATTTTAATGGGATTCTAGAGAAATGTTTAAAAATCCAAATTATATGGTAGACATGTTTTACATTCTTATTATGAATGTCAGGAAATCCGGAAACACCTTTTTTGTTGTATATTTTTAAAGGAATTTCAGTCCAAAACATGACTTTAAATAGCCATGCTATTTCTTCCTAGAAATATTTTCAGTTTTATGTTTTGAGCAGTGTTCACTTTTTTCCCTTACGTTTCTAATGAAGCTGGAACCAGTTGGGATCTATTTTATTTTTAAAGTTTATTTTTTTATTTTTTCTGGGGGCATAAGCATTGGAGGGGCAGAGAGAGAGAGACAGAATCCCAAGCAGGTTCCGTGCTGTCAGTGCAGAAGCCCGATGTGCTTGAATACACAAACTACAAGATCACTACCTGAGCTGAGATCAAGAGTCCCAGCACCCCGGTTTGGATCTATTTTAATTACTGTTTTGTTCTTGTACTATTTCATCTCTTTTCACTAATATTTAACATTAGGGAGAGCTGGAATGCCATGATGGCTCAGTCAGTTGAGCATCTGACTCTTGATCAGCTCAGGTCAGGATCCCAGGGTTGTGGTATCGAACCCCATGTCTAGCCTGCTTAAGATTCCCCCTTTCTCTCTGGCCCTTCACCCTGCTAGTGCTCTTTCTCTCTCTAAAATAAAACTAAAATAAAATGTACTTAAAAAAACATTTAGGGAGAGCCAACAAAATGTTGTGTCTGTATTAAATATGAACTTAGTCATGGTGGGCTCACATTTCCAACATGACAGGAAAGAACACTGTATTTATAAAGGATCCACACAGTGAAGAGAATTAAAATATAAAAATCTTGGGACTATACATCAACTGTAAGTTGATTATGGTTCTTTTCATAGCTTGAGATACTTCTAAAATACCATCGATAGTGCTAAAGGAGGACTTTTTACCAGAAATGGCATTTGCGCAAGTGAAGAGCTGTGGAGAGACTGTCAGGCTCGTGGAAGTGGAGGCAAGTGAGACAGAATGGGGGCAGGGAACAGCAATGATGGTGTGAAGGATCCATAGCTCAACTCATTTCATTTGCACAGTCCATCCATGGGTCTATGAATGCTTGAGGAATTGTTGGTCCCTATTCTACTGTGTTCGTCTTCCAACCCATCTGAGAGCGTCTAATGGGATTCCGGAATCCTTGGGCCCATTTTTTTTTTCCTTCATGGATAGTGCTCATGTTTTGTTTTCCTGCTCCCAGAATTAGATCCCACTTTTTGTGGCTAGCTAATTTCTAACACAAATTCAATGAAAATCACCTGCTCTGGAAAACTTCTATGGTACCTATACTCTGGATTAAATACCCCTTATTTGAACTCTTATGGTACCATGGATGCACTTTTATTCCTCCATGATTATATGTACTTTCAACAGACGGTTATGTGTACTTTTGTGATTTTTTTAAAAATTTTCTTTTATTAAACTACTTCACAAGGGCACCTGCGTGGCTCAGTCAGTTGAGCATCCAACTCTTGATTTTGGCTCAAGCTGTGATCTCTCACGATTGTGAGATCGAGCCCCATGTCAGGTTCTAAGCTGAGCATGGAACCTGCTTGGGATGCTCTCTCTTCCCCTCTCTCTGCCCCCCTCCCTCAATAAATAAATAAACATAAAAAAAAAATAAACTACTCCACAACAAGGAGAATAATTTGTTAAAATGTATTTCACTTGTTCCACCACATTTCCTGGAGAAATGTTTATTAAAATACTTGTTCTTCTTTTGAAGAACAGAGGAATGATCGTATTTCTCATTCCATTTTTTGCTCCTTTCAGGTAATTGTTTACTGTTACCTGGATGTTAAGTATAAGAGAAATAAGAATCTAGGTACTATCTTTATAGAAGCTTAGGTAAAAGTGTAAGTGAGTCTAAAATGATTAAAAAAAAAAATTTGTTATCAACACAGTATTTGTTAGCAACATCGTTCATGAGTTGGTTACAGTGAAAACATATGGCAGGTTAAAACTAGCCTATCTTAGCACAATCAGTGTAAAGTGTGTGTAAAATACCATGCCAGGCAAAATTGACCTAAATAAGGAACATGTTTTATAGTTAGAGGTAATTTGCTTGGAGATGTTGATAGAAAAAGTGGTGCCTCCATATAATAATTTATATGGTCCTGGGACACTTCTAGCATCTAAGCGTGTCATTTCCTCGGCCTACCAACATATTGAAATCAGCATGCATTCTTTTAGGATAATGTTGTCTCTATTAACAGAGATAACTCGAATGTTGTCATTTCTCACTTGTGAATGCCACTAAGAACTCTGCAAGAAAGAGAACAAAAGACAGGTTGTGCATTAAAAAGAGAAATGAACAAAATCACAGAGTCTGAAGTTTAATTCATAAAAGCACCAGCTAGAAAATATGTGAGAATTTGAAAGACAGCCTCAATTCTTTGGGGAACTTTAATTGGTCCTCTATAAAACAAAATGGTTGAAATTTTGGACATTATAGTTCCCGGTTTCTATGATAGGTACCAGCTAAATGTTTATGATAATTGAGAAAATAAGATGAAAATCCACACAAAACCACTAGAAAGTTCATGGGTGAGATACTTCAGAAGAGAACAAAAACAGCAAGGACAAACACTTAACACTGGAATATGAGATAATGGGGTTAGTGTTAGTATCTACTAGCTTCACCCATTTCAGAACTTTGCATAATGCTGGTAAGAGAGAGAAAGTGGAAATT